ACATCAAAGATTAATGTCTAGGAAAAATGGTAAATGTCGTTTGAAGCAGGGTAAGCAGAAGCAAGAAAGCTGCAGCAAGAAAGGAGATGAACGCCCATGGAGTGTTGAAATAGTTGTGCCTTAAGCTTGCGATCCTTTTGTTCCAAAGTGCATTGTAATGCTCATTGACGTCATTACATATCCAGGCATAGAATTCGATGGAGACCCCGACATTATCTGTGAGCCTATTAAACATGGCCGCGACAGCCTCATCACTGCCTAACCAATTTTCAATTATTCCACAGTTACAAAGTAACTCCACATCTTTCCCTGAATTAATCAGGCAATCCATAAACCTGGCAAATTCAGTGAAGTATTTTGGATTTTCTTTCTCAAATTGTTCGGAGACAATGACATTGCGATACAATCTCTCTGTGTCATCTGTAATTTCTATCATAGGAATCTCGAGTACCCCATTTCTAAACATTATGTCAAACAAGGTATTTCCTTCACCCTTCTTGAACCGAATTCCAGCCTCTTTAAGCTCTGTAGCAGAACGTATAAATGACCATTTGCCATCTTTTGATGCTCGCGAGTGATCCTCCATTACTCTTGAAGGAAGCCAATTCCCACGTACCAAGTCTAGTAAATGCTTGACACTTTTAATTGAATTATGGTCATAGACAACATCAACTCTTAGTCCCGGCATCGTGCCAGCGAAGAGTTGTAGAAGACGGTTAACATAAAAGATTCTCTCATTTCCCCTTATTATACCAAACAACTCCCAAAGCACAAAGAAAGGAAGTTGGTTCTCAAATAGAATCAAGTCAAGCAAAATCCTGTCGAAATTACCCTCCACTCTAAAGACATACTCATCCATGTTACCATCAAGTAATTGGTGAATAAACTCAACAATAAAGCATCCATCAAGCACCAACATTTCTAGGAAGTCTTCTGTGCTAATACTTGAAGGTTCTGAATAACAGTTACGGACTTTTTCGACCATACCTCTCAGTGCTGCTACATATGGTTCGGCAGTATGCTCATATGGCTCGGTAGTATTCTCATATGGCTCGGCAGTATGCTCATTTGTTCGGCGAAGAAGCATTCTTAAGAAGCGAACCTTGTGCACTTCCATCATCTTCAAGTGATTTTTGCCACGATGATAAGGACCAATTGAGATGATTTCTGGTTCATAGGCTGTTTCACTCACCTCATATAGCTCGCGAGGCACTCTAAAAATGGTATGCTCCGAAAATGTTGAAGAAAGTGCTTGCAGCTTCTCATCTATGCGAGTGCAAACCGTGATCCTTATTTCATCCGCCATTACCTGAATATAGAAAAACAGAAAAAAAAAAATGGAATTCAAGAAAGGAATACGGGCCGGATACCTTATTGATGGCTTGATGCTAATTGACAATTAACACTTTCATTTGGTAATAGAAATTTAGAAACTCATACCCCCGTTAACAGGCTTTTGTAGCAATTGATCTTTGTGGCTTTGAATCGACTGCTAAAAAGAATAACTTTTCTCTTGCTTGAATGTGGCACAAAAAGAAGAAGAGAAAAATGAAAAATCTTAACATAAAATAGAGATAAAAGGAAGTCGTAATAATTTGATTAATTTCCTTTGAAAAATTGCAGGATCGTGAGAAGTACTGTGCATACGCGGTTTCGGTCCAGGTCAAATGGTCCAGAAATTGCAAGGAATAGAGGCACTGTATTTTTTTTGTACTGTGCATGCGCGGTTTCGGTCCTGGTCAAATGGTCCGGAAATTGCAAGGAAGAGAGGCACGGTATTTTTTTTCTTTCTTCTTTTGATCAGCAAAGTCAAATTAGAAATCTTATCATGAGGACAGGTACCGAATACCTACTTAACTGAACTTTCAGTTTCAGGAATTTGCTCTTAAATCTTAAAGTATTTGAATTTGTTAATAGAGTTTTCAAAACTCAACAATATCTTGAAAAAAATATTCCTCTCTCAGATTGTAAATTGTTTTAGAAAAAAAAGGAAAAAACACCTACTGCACTGTTACAAAAAGAAAAAAATTCACTGCCTGCGGTAACCGCCTTGTTTTTTCCTAGTGAAAATACTTTTGTGATTCAAGATGCATGTAGAGAACATGATAATTAATATCAATCTATATAAAATGTTATTCTATGTATTAAATATAATATGTAAAATATATACGTAAAAAGATATGAAAATTATATTATTATTATAAATGAAAAAAGGAAAAATTATAAATAATAATATGGGTGGTAGATGAAGAGGCAACCAAAAGAAGAAAAATGAAAAATAAAATTGTCCAACAAAA